AGCAACAGTTTGGTGGACGGCAGACGAAGAAGTCGAAAGTTCGTAGTCGCGCGCGTTTTATCTTATTCGTTAAGTGTGTGTGAGTGTGCACGTCTATCATCGTCATTTATTTATCTGATCGTTTTGCGAATAGCTGTATAAAACAGTCGGTTACGTTACGTACCTCCGCATTAGTGAAAACGCGATCGAACGCGACACAGAGCGAGCGAATAAACAAACGGTTCGTTTAATAATAAACACGTATTTTGTGAAACGAAGCTAAACGGAAACGCGTCATCATGGGTTGTGGAACGAAAATGGTGAAATACCTGGTGTTTCTCTTCAATTTGGTCTTTGCGGTAAGTTTTTAAAAAAAAAAACATCGCGCGCGCGAGTTATCGAAAAGAATTTGTGTAATAAATACTTACGCATCGTAACAACAACAACAACAACATGTTGATGATCATGTATCTCTTTCCGTTTGGCAGCTCGCCGGTTTGGCTCTCCTCATCGTCGGCATCCTCTTCAAATTGGACTTCAATGACATCGCCGGCGCTTTGGAAGATAGCCCGTTCGGCGTCGCGCCCGTCCTGATGATCGTCATCGGCGCGATAATCTTCGTGATCGCCTTCTTCGGCTGCTGCGGTGCCATCAAGGAGAACAGCTGCATGCTCACCTCGGTCAGTAGCACACTGCTGCAAAGACAATACATATTTATTAGACAGACACGACACGAATTTGCTTACACTTACTATGTATGATCTATATTGCAGTACTCGGTCGTACTTCTCGTCATCTTCATTCTGCAAATCGCGCTCGGCGTCTACGTCTTCCTGTCCATCAAGAACGAGAGCGACCTGAAGGACAGCATCACCAAGGATCTGAACAAATCACTCGATAAATACAAGAAGGGAGACAAACTCGCCATCGAATCCTTCGATCTGATGCAGAAATCCGTAAGTCCGCTTTGGCAACAGCCACGGCCATCAATATCAATCCCGCATCTTCTCAATTCCAGATCAAGTGTTGCGGCGTGAGCAGCTACAAAGATTTTCTTCCTTCGATTCCCGACACATGCTGCGAAACATCACCGTGCAATGCGCTCAACTCCTACAAAATGGGATGCGGTGAGAAGATGTTCGATACCATCGAAGACAACGCCAGCACCATCGGTTACGTGGCTCTAGGCCTCTGCGTTACAGAAGTAAGTCCAAAATAATATCGACGCATCCATAATCAATCAATCTCTTCCTTCCTTCCAGCTGATCGCAGCGATCTTCTCCCTCAGCCTGAGGAGCTCCATCAGGAACGAAAACAGGCGAAACGGCTACGCCTAAAATAACACGCACAAACAGAAATTAATTTATAAGTAATTTAATTTAGAAACACACCTATACAAGAAAAAAAACATATACATAAAGAATAATATTTCATAATAAACAGTTTGTTTTGTATTAATTTGTTTTTCTCTACTTTTTTCAAGAGCGAATGGGGAAACATGTAGCAATTTTAGCACGATAAGCCTAGTTTATTTATACGACAACAGCTCATTGCATGCAAAAAAAGAGCACACATACAGAAACCGTGGCGAAAATGAGTCACGATCACTCATTGCCGCCGTATGCAGATCGCGCGGCTTGTAATTATTTCGTTCTTTAATAATTTCCAATTGGCCTGGACAAGGTTGATCGTGTTGGCGGTCATTTACAAATTTACGCAATTGTTACATCGCCACATACATTTCCCCCCCCAACCCCGCGCGCGCGGCGGCTCAACGTATTATCTCAGAAGTGCAAACACTTGAAATTTAATTGAAATTGCTCGTTATCTAGATAACAGGTTACAAACATCATCGCGTTATTAAAAGCCATCATTATTTAGAAAACACGCGACGTTAAATTAACGAGACGCATTGCGTAACGCATCTCCGTCTCGAACTTTCCCCAAAAAAACGAAAGCGATCGCGTTTGCATATAACATCCTTTCTAAATAACGCCTCTATCATTAGACATTTCAGACGTTTCTCTCGCAAAATAAGAAAGAAACAAATTGATCGCCTCAGGTAAAATCGATTAGAGCGTTCACGAAATCAAGTGGTGCCCTGAGACCGTAACCATCTTTGTTTTTTATTTTTTTTTTTCGTTTTGTTCCGTTTGCAACACCGGATTTCCATTCGTATTACAATTCCAATTTACGAATCAAATATAAAATCAACGTTTTCACGGTCGCGCGGAACGATTAAAGTTTCGTCTGATAGGATACAATAGGTGTAATGTTATTAGATTGCAATTCTCTTACCTTTCCTCTTTCTGCAGGCGGTTCAATTCGCAGAAATTCGCTCGCCGAAGAAACGACGCTTCCGCAAACATTCGAAGTTCAATTGTCGCAATGCAGCCAACGGAAAGTTAAAAAAAATAAATTAACATCCGTGTAGTGTAGGCAACCAAACTTGCACTTGCATCGCCTTCTTAATTAAGACAATATATTTATGTAATTAATGTGATTCTGTTTTTGTTTTCAATTCATTTATTTTAAAAATAAGACGACTTGATAATGGGGGGACATCTAATTGCAGGAGGAATGTTGGCCAAAGGAAGTAAATAAAACGAATGTGCGTTTTTCATCACTTTTACAACGACATACTTTTTCTTCACATGTTCACGTAACAATTTCATAAGGTTTGTTCTGTTCTGTTTTGTTTTTTTTTTTGGTTGCTTTATTTCTTATACAATGATCTACAATGAATCTCAATAGTTTCTCCATATTTATAATTACATTCATTAATTAATTAATATTTAGTGTACAACATTGGCTTATGTAACAATTCGCTAAACAAATGAAAAAGTAATGGTAATTAAAAAAAAAACAAACGAAAAACAACTCTAAAACAAATGCTTAAAGTAATAAAACTTAAGTAAAGTTTAAACTAATTAATAATTATTACAACCACTTATCGCGTATAATATAATCATTTATGTATATATATAATATTTATATAGAACGCATTTCTAGGATGTTTGCTTTTTTTTTCTCTCTCTTCCTTTCGTTACGTCAACATTGTACTGTTTATTTATATGTAGTGTGGTAAGTAGTAATGTATTATTACTAGACTAGAGCTCCAAAAAGGTTACGGAAACTATATACAGAAGAAGTGGGAAGGTAACACGCCGAAGAATCCATCCATCGGCGTCGCGACGTTTCACACGACGAAACAAAAGTGAAAACCCGAAACAAAACACACAACAACAAAAAAAAGAACAACGCACATCAAGCAACCTTTACAAAGAAAAAACAAGAAACAAAACGAAAATACATCCAAGGCGTTAACATTAACATTATTCTATTATTACATCATCTTCGCGGAAATAAACGGATCTTTCTCTCCTATCGTTTCTTTGATTATACTTTACTTATTTATTTTTATATATATATTTATAGGCCCCCCCGCATGATAGTTACGCGCGGCCGAGACTCGACACGAACCGCTCCTCTTTCATTCTTTCATCTACTCCTTCTTTCGTCTTTCGAGAAACGAAAAACCGAAGAAATAAGATCGAAATGAACACGCGTCGTAATATCATATCTTCAACAATATTGTCTAGCTGATGAATACAATTAGTGTGAAATGCAACAACCTAATTAACAATAATAATAATAATTATAAGATGCATCCGCGCTACTCGCGGAAACGAACGTGTCTAATCAATTTCTCTTCCGGTGGTTTGGGGGGAGGGGGTTTATGAGGGTTTCTTTTTTTTTTTAATTATATTTCCGGGGGCACGCAGAAACCACGCAAAGTTTCGTATAATTAATCTTCATCATTTTTAAGTTGTTTTAGTACCATTCAATAATACTTATCGTATAGTAAAATGTATGTATATATCTATTGGGTCGACGTTTCTTTTCTGTTTGCTGTAAATTACTTGTTTTTGGTGTTAATATGTGAAGACTTATATATAATCTCTTCATTCATTATTTGCGTTGGA